AGGTATGCCTGGGTGGTTCAGTTGGTTGAGCATCCAACTCTTGTTTTTGGCTTGGGTTGTGATCTCATGGTTTTTGAGTTTGAACCCTGCATCAGGCTCTACGCTGACAGTGTGGAGCCTGCTTGGGATTCTCTCACTTCCTCCTTCTCTGCCCCTCCTGCTCTCTCTCTCTCTCTTTCTCTAACAACAACAACAACAACAGCAACCAAACGAAACCAAAACAAAAAAGAGACACATAAATAAGAAAGTCATATTGTGTACATAGCTACTATACTTGTGTATTCCTGTCTTCCTTCACCCTACTCTCCAACTTACTGGCACTTCTGAAATGTAATTCTAGATATTTGATAGATAAGACTCAATAAATGATTAAAAATGCCTTTATAGGCCTGATAAATTCACCTTAGGGGAGAAAATAGGAATATATTCCCATCAATGGAATAAATGGAGATGAACTCCTTAAATAACTAGAATTTTCACATTTATTTTAAACTCACATATAACTAAACATTTAGCATGTCTGAATAGCACCTAGATTAACTACTTCTGCAGATGGGAAGCAATTCAATTTTTTTCTTATCTCCAAGGAAATTTTTTATTCCACATTATAGCTTTTCACCTGCAAAATTTGATTTCAAAAATTACCTCTTAATGAATAAGAGATAAAAAACAAATAATGATCTTTAACTGAAAGTATTAGCCTCCACTTTCTTCCAAATTTGGGACATGAGACTAATCCACTTTTTTATTGCCAATTTGGAATATAAATAATTTTCCCCTCTCTCTTGTGAAAGTCTGTCATAGTAACTTAGATACCATGAATGTTAACATTAACCCTTTCACCACACAATAATAATCTTTAATATACTGTTGTTACAAACACTTGCCTGCTATAATAAAAAAAAAGAAATGAAGAAATTGTGATTGCAACCATGCTTTAGTAAAACCACAAGGAAATAGAATATGTCACATTTTGATTACAATAACTAGAATTACAATATTTATAAACATTGTTGCTTTACAAACAGCTCTCAATGCATTTATTTTCTTTCTCCTTATGGTTCAGCAGCATTATTCCCACATTCCATTGAAAAAGTCCAGCAGGCAGTGAAAAGAACTTTAAAGCAATCTACTGCAATGCTGAAGCCAAAGTATCGACTGGAATGGTATACATTTGGACAGTCATAACTATGATATTAAAGAAGACAGGCCATGCCTGACCTGCTGTTGATATAACCACAGGCTAGCAACACATTCCTTAAGAGCCACACAACCTTCTATCATTGAAGATTCGTAGAGGACAGATGTTTTCCATCAGTGTGATAGTATTTTTACACTGCTTTCATTAAACTGTCATTTCTTAAACTGCTTCAATTTCAGGCCCCTTTTATCGCTTTGTTAGTTTTAATGCATCTCTCTGTACCTTGGGTGACAGGAAGGTAGCCCTAACTTTAATTGTGTGTATACTTGCCAAAGATTGGGCCAGACATCCTCACAGTAGCCCTCTGTGGAATTGTACCTAATTGCAAAGTGAAAGCAATAATGCAACAAGCAGCAGCATAAAGATCACTGGTTATTCACGGCGAGCAGACTGAGAAATATTATGTATGTATTAAAGTGCTTTGAAGTGAAATATTTATGCAACTCACTTTGAAGGAATCAATAACTTTGATATATTAGTACAGTTGAAAATATTGTTCATTTAACAAAAATGGATATAAGACAGAAATAAAATGGACGTTCAAAACCAAAAGCTATCTGGCAAACTAGAAAACACCCTCAGTACAACTGAACTAAAATGATCCTTTCTAAAAGTTCCTTTTTAATGCAAAAGTTTAAAGATGTGTATTTTACATCATTTTGATATTAAATGGCAATATTTACTTGATTTCCTCATTTATTTTATTTTATTTTATTTTATTTTATTTTATTTTATTTTATTTTTATTTTATTGTTGCATGACTTGAGGTACACCCATCAGGACATTAGTTCAAACACAGGCTTAAAAGAAGGAATTTTATTCTTAAACCATAATTTTTAGAGAATGGTGGATGTGTCACCCATGAGAACAAAAGCCAATTGATAAGAAAACCAGTTATACATCAGTTCATTCTAATTTTGTTCTGATTTCTCCTGCACCCTTGTGAGGAAATCAGGAATAAAAATTCTGAGATGGTTATTTTGGAATGCAATGAACATTCCCTGAATTTGGGATCTGCCTGCATGTTTTAGAGAACTGTAAAAGATACAAATTAAAAGAAGACTATGTTTCAATTTTAAAAGATCTGCACTTAGATTTCCTGAAATTAATATAAAGATAATAAATTACACTCTTGATCACTATGATGAGTCATCATTATCCAGGAATTTTTTTTTCCCTGACACTCCACTGCTTCCTTGGAAATCACACTTCTGGGTTATTATCACAGTAATGAGTAGAGTTGTTAATGTGGACTCTGATCTTTTGGTAATAAATTTGTATTCCATTAAAAAAGAACAGACAGTAAATGAGAGGTCAGTTAGATATTATCACAATATGAATTAAGTTATTTGATTGAAATTCATTTTCTAGATTATATTTTTATTTTGTTGAATGTTTCTAAAAGCAAACAAAATTTTGTGATGCTTCTATATTTGGTACATAGGCACTAAACAAATAATCAAGAAATTATCTCTATGAAAAAAGAAGATGTGTTTTCCTCCATACTTACTAATGTACACCTCATAATATGAAATTTAATTAGCCAAACTCAATAATTCACAAAGCTGGAAAAAGAATGATAATGGACAATCACAGCCTAAGCACAGGAACACTATGTACAGATATATTTCATTAATGGAATTAATTTAGCATTGTAATTAAATAGATTACTTACTAGCCCACACTATAATTTCATTAAACTAATGATAAAGCTTCATCACCAAACATCAATTAAAGAACCTTTCCAATTGTGGCATACATGGTAGAGTTTTCATACAGTCAAAATAGACTGACAAGTTAAAAAAATCCTTCTTTTACTTACGTTCATGGAAGTTTTTATGCAAAACAGTTAATAAATCTAAACAGTTTCATGTGAAGAGAATTATTAAAATTGCTCAAAATTTTATAAAATGAATCTACCAGTAAGTATACAGAGATTTTGAAAATTATTCTCCTCTATCCTCCCTGTCTAAACTTAAAACTGTGTAGATGTGTACTTGCACATGTAATAAAAGACTAGAAAAGCTCTGATTTGTATATTTCCTTCAATTATAAACAAACATTCATTGATTGTTTACTATTTGTCAAGTCCTGTCCCAGATGCTTGGTATATAATAAAGAATTAGAAGACAAATATAATATTTATCCTCACAGACTGCACTTAGAATTTTGTAGAAAATTTGTGAAGATGAACAAGATTATGTGAAATTTTATGGTCATGTATAAAAGTTATTTATCAGAGTTAAGTTTAATCCCTTTTTTCAGCTAGAATAATGTAGAAATTAAATATTAATTTAAATAATTTTCTTTAAAATATCAATGAATGATTTACTTTAATTTACTTAATCTTCAACTATCACATACTGTGTGCCTGGAATGATGCAAGATTTTCACTTCAAGGAAAAGAAAAAGTTTTTTTTAAGTTTTTAAAAAAGTGGAGAATAATCATTCCTTTACTTTTTACACATGCATGCTGTTTGGCTCATATCCACTGTCAGTAAAATTTAACCATACATTTACACTAATCACATATAAATATACATTTTAATGTATATTTTAAAAAGTAAATCATACATGTCTACAAATCCAAATCCCTTGGAAATATTCAGGCAATATATTATGGAATAAGTCCCGTCATTTTTTTTTCACTAAAAATTAAGCCTAGAAGAAGAAATATCTCAAGAGTATCTTCAATAATTTTATTGGAATAGGATTATGACGCTTTTTAAAATATAAGGAGAACATACCACATGAGTATTTACTTATCTTTTTAATTCTTCTTGGAACTTGTCTTATTCCAAAAATTTACCTCACTATGATAAGCTTTTTGGAAAGCACTCAAAAATCATGCAGGTGAAAAAACATTATCCATTACTTATATTATATTATTAAATTTGCACTTATCTCCAGCATTCAAAACAAACCAAGGGGTTCGACATTTCTTTTTCTCATCCTCATTCTCAAATGATTAAATGAGTAAGTCTTTTCTTCCTAAATACTACAGATTTAGATGAATTTAATTATCATCTTCTATACTATCTTAAGACTGTGCATTTATAATCTGTTTATGAAATATGATAAATTAATTTTGTTGCTAATATTAAATTTTATGGTTATATGCTTTGTATGTTTAACAAATGAAAACTTTGCTAAAATTAAAATCAAAATGAAACATTTCAAAATGTTTTCAAAGTTCTGCATCTAGAGTTCATCAATAAGCCTCATTCTTTGTATTTTATGGATATATGCAGTACACATACAGGTTCTGTCACATAATAGAGTCTTGATTAACCAGGATATTTTTCTGTAGTATCAGAAGCACCTGTTTCAGAAACAAACCCTAAAGACTAAAACTAACTTAACATTTGGAAAAATATAACTATATAGTTCAATGTTTTTTTTTTTCTATTTAAAAATAGAACTTCATGTGGTATTGCTCTTAAACTCAAATACCACATGCGAGGAAGATCCTGACCCCAAATTCTATGCTAAACTGAAATATTTACAACCTCTATGTTTTAAATTATGTTTCTTACCCCTAATTGCCTAGAAGGCCATGTAAAAAATCTGGTAATAGCTTGGGTAGAACTGAAAAACAAATTATATACAAACCATGTACAATTTCAATAAGTAGAAGACACATGAGAGTAAAGTTTCTAAAAGTAGATTATTAATCTATGATAAGTGGGATAGATATATATTTATAGAACTAGGTTTCACTAAATGAAATTAAAGGAGAATAAGCTTTGAAGTAAAGCAGACATAGATATGATTCCCAATTCTCTCACCTCTTGTCTAGGCAACCAGCAAGTTATCCTCAGCTTCATCACTGAAGTTGGAAGAACAAAATCCACTTCACAGGATGGGTATGTTTAAAATGCACCTGGCATATTTTAGACTTCCTATAAATGTTATATCTGTTAAATTATTTGATAAAATTCTTCAGTATCATATCTGCGCATTAATTCAGCAGATGTCATATAAAAATCAAGACTTTAACAAATAACTTACATTAGACTACCAGTCATTATATCTATACACTGCCTACTTTTTAATTCCTTTGAACGCATACAGCAAACTACTTATGACATAATAACAAATATCCATAAATGAAAAATTAGAAAACATTAACGTTTTGTGAATTTACCTTCATGTTTTCTAAATAAAATTATTACAACTTTATAAATAACTATTCTATTCCCTAGACCTGTCCCTCCTTCAATTCTCAGGGACATCTACCATCATAATTTCATATTTATCATTTAATATGTGGTTTCACATATTCACTATATACATAAGCATCAAATTATTTATACCATTGTTTTGCTTATTTTCTTTCACATAAATGCTACTTAATTGTCCATATTTTTCTGTTCACTTATTTTACTTTTCTATAATACTTCATTTTGATAGAAGCTGATATTTACTGAATATTTCCAAGTTTTCTAGTTGATCTCGGTGTCAACTGCTGTGGTAAATACTTCACATATATTAATTTGCTGTACTCTCACAACAGTCCTATGGGGGAGACTTTTATTACTTTGATATTATGTTTTATGTTATATATTTTATTTACACTTTTATAATTTTGTTATTTTACAGACGATCAAAATGGAAGACAGAAAACTTAAGCAACTTATAGAATGCTACACAGGTAGTAAATGGTAGAGCTGGAATTTGAATCCAAGCTGACTGGATCCAGGGCCCACACGTTAATCACATTACCCTGTGTTCAAAATCAAAGAACAGAGCATACGTTTGTATGTATTTTCCTACTGATGGAGAAACCAGGTGTTTCCAATTTTTTACCCTTGTAAACAATGATGTAATAAATGTCCTTGAATATGTCTCCTGATTTCCCTTCAAGAGATCCTTGAGGACAGAGACTCAGGTGGATTATTTGGGAGTCTCAGGGTATACATGTATCCAACAGTGGCCTTTCTTGCTTAACATACTGAGGCTCAAGAAGACCAAGGTATAATTAACAATATTTTTTCTAAAGGCTTCTGGTGTTTGGAGGAAAATACCCTCTATGCTCAGTATGTCTTGTATCCTTTGCTCATCTTGTGTTAACACATGTTTCTACAACAGAAGAAAATCTATGCATATTTAAGTGACTTCTAATATCCTAATTAAGAGACTATTTAAGAGACTTCTAATATCCTAATAAGATATCTAATATCCTAATATCCTAATTAGAAATTTAACTAATTTCTAATTAGTTAAATTAGAAATTCTGATAAACAATGAACATTTTAGTACAGTGCATGGGATATACTGTACTTAAAATAATGTTTCATCTGGATTCAAATTTAACTCAGTGTTTTTTTTTATTTTTATTTGCTAAATTTGGCAACCTCACAAATAATCATCCATTGGATGGCTAATCAGCAAAAGAACCACCCCTATTTACTGGTAGGCACATTGAGAAGATGTGACTAAACCAGTGTCACGTAATCTAGCTACAAATTAAATGTGACTACAGTCTATTCTCTGCCTTTCCAAACTCCTTATGTTTTATTCAAGTGGAAGTAGATGGAATGTGTATATATTTTATCTTTTTCTTTTTTTTAATATGATGTTTATTGTCAAATTGGTTTCCATACAACACCTAGTGCTTATCCCAACAGGTGCCCTCCTCAATGGCCATCACCCACTTTCCCCTCACTCCCACCCCCCCCATCAATTATCAGAAACCTTTCCATAGTTATATATAAGTGCTGCAATACCTTTCGCAACTCAGGTTATCTTGCTTCATTTATTTTTTTCTTGTATAATGACACACTAAGGTACCTTTTTTTTTTTTTTTAAAAATCTTATTCCTGAGGATATAACTAGAAGGATCATTAACCATCTGCCAACTTCTGCTTTGCCTCCTCAACCCCATGCCCATATTCACTTCCTCTCTGTTGTATGTCATAAAAATGCACTCTGGTTGAATAAAAATGGGTAGCAGAACACAAAAGGTGTTTCCATGAGCTAAACTGACATTACATTAAATAATGAGGAATTTGCAAGTGGGAGAACCCTATATTATCACCCAACACCTCATTTTATGATTATAAAAAAAGAAGAGGAATTAAATACAAATTTAATCATCCTCCCTATAAAATGAGACTCTCTGAATAAGCAGGAACAAAGGACAGCCAGTGGGTCTTAGGTATTACAGCTGCCAAAGATGAAATCTGTACTCCGGGGCATATTCATTTCACTAGTTAAGTGCTACTTGAACTAATAGCAATTTCTTAGGTGAAAAGAATTTTGATATTTTTCTTATTTTTCCATTATGGAGCTTTGGCATTTCATCAATTGGCATATCCTACCAATTGTGCTGAAATGCTTCTAAGGTTCTGCACAGAATACGGAGGGATGCTTTTGTCTATAAAATAAACCATCAGTTTAGACTGAGATTTTTTTTTTTCTAAAAGAAGTGAAGTTGATTACTTGGCATCAGTCCTTCATCACAGATACTACTGAAGAAAAAGGGACTGTGGAAAAAAAAAAAAACTGAAGGACATGAAGTCCGTGGGGAAATAACGAAGTATAAGTGCTGCAGAGAGCAGCCAGAAATGGAATAATATTTCTTCTGTGAGGACCTCAGTAATAACAACCTATGAATGATGAGACTTATTGTAAATGGCAAGAGTACTGTGGGAGAATAAAAAAATGCTACCCTGTGAAGGATACCGTTTCACATGCCCTATCTCTTTCCCCTTCTTCACAGATCATTTGAGCTCTCTTTTTTATTATTCTTCTTTCCAAACAATAAATATTTAGAGTGAGCCAAATATGTGCCACAGACTAAAAGTACAGCTATGGGGAAAAAAATGACATCTGATTCTTACCCAAATTTGATCTAATAATAAGTAGACAATTACAAAACAAATATAGAAATACCAATAATGTTGATGGAGGATCTACAAAGAAAGGAGGAAGTAATTGTAATCATGGACTTGGCTAGAAAAATATTCCCATAGGAAAGTGACATTGATGTGTGTTATAATGGAGAAATAGGGTTACATTAGGCTAGAAGTGGAAAAAAGGAAATTCCAACTAAATGGGCCAGCCAAAGCAACATATAACAAATAATCTGATTGTTAAGACGATTTGCTATTTCTAATACTGAAACTTGAAAAATAAGCTGTGGCAAGATTCTGGGTAGTCTTATAGATCTCACAGAGGAATAGGAGTGTTATATGAACACAGGGAATAGGAAGAAAATGTGGATGTTTAAGAAAGAATGCAACATGATTCAATGTGCATTTTGGTGGCACTGTGAAAAATACGTAAGAGGAAAAAAAAGTTAGAGGTAATTATATCAAATAGGAAATCATTATAATTATCCAGGTGAAATAAATTATGAAAACTCAAATAAGACAGCGGCAGCACAGACAGAATGGAAAAGCAAATTCACTTAGAAAGTAGAGTTGACAGGATTCAGGGAAGGGTTGGGTGAAACAGAAGCCAGACCTAAGATTTTGTGCTTGCAAGAATGGGTATATTCTGATTCCACACAAAGAGATTTTGGCAGATGGAGGAGCAACATAAATGTTAAATTTTGAATCTCGAAGTGAAACTTCTAGAATCATATCTATTATGTTAAAGAAATGTAAGATTAATTATGCAAAACAGAAACCTCAACCCATTTGAATACTTATCCATCCAATTTTATATTCAAGTGATAATAATTGAGACTTTGAAAATTTGGGTATAAAAGGTACTTTTACAAACTTTATTTATTTATTTATTTACTTTTATTTGCGTATAGTTGACAATATTACATTAGTTTCACGTGTGCAACATAGTGATTCAACATCTCTACATGTCATGCTATAATCACCACAAGTGTAGCTACCATCCATCATCATACACTGTTATTTTAATACCATTGAATATATTCCCTAGGCTGTACCCTTTATTCCCATGACTTATTCATTCCATTCCTTTCACCTGTTCGCCCATCATTTCACTTTCCTTCCCTCTGGCAACCATAGGTTTGCTCTCTGTATTTATAAGTCTGATTTTGCTTTTTGTTTGTTTTTTTATTCATTTGTTTTTTAGATTCCACGCATGAGTGAAATCACATAGTATCTGTCTTTCTCCTTCTGAGTTAATTCATTTAGCATAATATCCTCTAGGTTCATCTATGTTGTTGCAAATGGCAAGATCTCATCCTTTTTATGGTGGTGTAATATTCAATTGTGCGGCGTGTGTGTGTGTATACCACATCTTAGTTATCCACTCATATACTGATGGACACTTAGGTTGCATCCATATCATGACCATTATAGATAATGCTGAAATAAACACAGAGGGCAAATATCTTTTCAAATTAGTTTTTCATTTTCTTTGAGTAAAAATCCAATAGTGGAATTATTGGATCATGTGGTATTTCTATTTTTAATTTTTTGAAAAACCTCCATACTGTTTTTCACATTGGCTGCGCCACTTTACATTTCCATCAACAGTGCACAAGGATTCCTTTTTCTCTACATCCTCACCAACACTTGTTATTTCTTGTGTTTTACTCTAGCCATTCTGACAGGTGTAAGGTGATACCTCATTGTGGTTTTTATTTGCATTTCCCTAATAATTAGCGATGCTGACCATCTTTTCATGTGTCTTTTGGCTATCTGTATGTCTTCTTTGGAAAAATGTCTGTTCATATCTTCTACCCATTTTTTATTTGGATTGTTTGGTTTTTTTTGGTGAATAGTATATATTCTTTATATATTTTGGACATTAAACTTATATCAGATATATCATTTGCAAGTAGCTTCCCCCATTTGCTTGGGTCGCCTTTTCATTTTGTTCCCGGTTTCCTTTGCTGTGCACAAGATTTTAATGTAGTCCCAATAATTTTTTTTTGCTTTTGTTTCCCTTGCCTCAAGAGAAATGTGTAGAAAAATGTTGCTACAGCCAATGTCAAAGAAATTATTGCCTGTGTTCTAAGAGTTTTATGGTTTAAGGTCTCACATTTACATCTTTAATCCATTTCGAGTTTATGTTTATATATGGTGTTAAAAAGTGGTCCAATTTCATTCTTTAGCATGTTGCTGTCCATTTTTCCAGGCACCGGTTGTTGAAGAGACTGTCATTTCCCTACTGCATATTCTTGCCTCCTTTGTCATAGATTAACTGGCCATATAAGTGCAGGTTTCTTTCTGGGCTCTTTATTCTTTTCCATTGATCTATGTGTCCACGTTTGTGCTAGTAAAAACATTATTTATTTTAAAATTATTTAACTTAATCTCACAGGAACCTGGCGATACTCCTATATAATATCTATTTTGTAGATAAAGAAGTTGAAAATTAAAAATGAACAGTCCCAGAAAAGTGACTTAGTTTTATCAAAAGTCATGCTTCTTTAGGTAATGGTATTAACACAAACCAAATTCCTTGACTGGAATCAACTCACTAAGCCTACAGTAGCAGTCTAAGACAATTAAAAAAAAAAACAAAAAAACAAATAGTTGTTGAAGTCCCATGTTGTTTTCTCTTTTAATGCCTTTATAAATTGAACTCTGGTAAGATTTTATAAAAATAAGACTATTAAAGACATTCTTAACAGTAAGCAATAAAGTAAAAGCAAGAAATAATGACCATGAAAATAGAATACAGAATATGGCTTGAATTTATGGTATAGATTTCTATTTATGAGAGACTAAATATAGTGTGTGATCATACTGCAGAGAAATTTTATTATCAGCTTAAGGTATGACTATATTAATAACAGGAGTCAGAGAGTTTTTTAAATGTTTTACAAAGATAAATATTATTTTCAA